TTGTAAAGAGTTGAGATTACTAGCTTACTGTCTATAATATAGAATGGATTAATGTTATTCCTCCAAATGCTATGGTACGGCTGAGAGTCGAGAGAGTCCATTCTCACTCTTCAAACGCTCATATGGACACGTGCATACAACTACTGCCAAAGAAGTCCTACTCACTGCCTTCTCTTAGCCGGGGCGTTGTTTACGAAATTGAAAGGACGAAAAGCGAATGTATGAAGCTTTAGCCACATTGGTGGACACGGAGAGTCCACTTAGGGGAGTTATTTATTTATTTTAACACATAGATATTGATACAAGGGGGCACCAAATACATAAGCGCCACACAAAATTCATTTGATATGTGTGAGGGCTGTGATACTGCCTGGGTGCCCAGACCGAAGCAGTTGGAAAACCCTGGTTCGAAACCAATGGTGTACATGAGCTAGCTACAGTGTCTTGAAGGAACAAATGAGGTATGAATCAATCGTTCGTCAACAGCTACCATGAGACTGCATCTTCTGACGTTGCTCCACTGCCTTGTGGATTAGACCTTTAGGTTGAAGGCTCCGGTGTGGCCCCCTAAAGAAACCACTTACTACACTTTGGGAACCTGGGCAGTATCCCAATCCTCACATAGTTATTTGGTGCCTCCCTGTATCGATGTTTATGTGTTTAAATAAATATAATTGGTTAAACTCGAGATATAACAAAATACACTATGGATTCGTAGTGAGACATGGTAAACTCGTTTAAAATAATATTCAGTCAGCTACAACGTAGGACCAGGCACATATATGCATCGGTCCAAGTTGCCATTCCTCATTAACACAATAAGATGGACACCGGATACATAAAAGTAGTTAATTCAGAAGTGAGAATATATAAAAGAAAGATTGCAATAAAGATATTGTACAGGAAGAAAGAATTAGTTCGTAGAAAGAAATATATGAAGCGATTTTAATCTCATAGTTTAAGGGAAGATAGAGATTGTATACACGGACGCCATTGTGATCGATCTGAGCCATGTCACACAAAGTCTCTAACCATTTGTTACGATAGTCACGCGGACTCCAACCAAGTGGTCTGCATCTACCAACATTGCTCAGACTAAAAGTTAGTTGACAGTTGTTACTAGAAACATATACTGCTTTTATTAATCCGTGTAACTGGGATTACTATTAAAGTAGGGTTGTGGAGATTGTTGAGTTTTAATTCAGATCATAAACCAATCAATGTTGGATCATCATAGTTAACTCGAAGCACTGGACAACTGTTCCTTACTAGTACGGGACTCTTCAGTAGTGCACATTCACGATATCACATGTGGGATTGCAACCCACAACCTTCGATCTAGTGCGCGGACGCTTAACATCTAGACCACTGGGTCGGGATCCAAAGGTGTTAGTGTTTACCTTCAATCAATCCATGATATTGACAAACCATCTTCGATTATCTTCAGTGAGTAACTCACTCATACTCGACACGGTTCAACTCCACTCATCATGGCTTCTCACTAAGACTCCAAGAATTCGCTAGTGAGCATATGATACCATATCGTTATTCTATTGAAATATGAAGGGTTTTATTCTATTCTGTACTACAAAGATAAGTGCATAAACTCTATCTATTCTCATATGAAATGAATCATCATTTTGTATTACTGCGTAGATCAATCAATTCAAACTAGAAAATGTTGCTTTCATTATTCACTGTGTTGCAGCATTTGATTCTTTTAATTTGGTAGGTAGTTTCTTGTTGCATTCCATGTTTATATTATTTTAATTAATACAGGTTTCATTTAGCAGGAAAAACCTTTTATTTTTTCTTAACTATATCAGTTTATTCGTATTTTTGAATATTTGGAAGATAATTTTTACATTTATTTATTTTAACACATATTGGTACAAGGAGGCACCAAATACATATGCGCCACACAAATCTCATTCGATATGTGTGAGGGCTGTGATACTGCTCGGGTGCCCAGACCGAAACAGGTGGTTGTCTTGGTGGGCCACACCTGGAGCCTTCGACCTGAAGGTCTGATCCACAAGACAGTGGAGCATCGTAAGGAGATGCAGTCCCATGGAAGCCGGTGACCAACAATTGGTTCATATGCCATTTGTTCCCGCAGGATACTGGAGCCAGCCCATGTGCACAATTGGTTTGGAATCCGGTTAAAGCGCCGGACATTCGCTTTTCGTCCTCCCATTTTCGTAAACAACATTCCCGCCACGAGAAGGCAGTGAGTAGGACTTCCCTGGCAGAGGCTATATACGCGTGGCCATGTGAGAGCATTTCGAGAAGGAGAGCGGACTCTGCCTACTCTCAGCCGTACCAGGGCATGAATTTATCCATTCCTCTTGGTGAAATACTTAAACTGTTCAAAAACAAGTGTTTCAATCATTAAACTACCATTACTTATTCAGTTCATTGTATTAGTTAACACAGCTTTGTATACAAATTTATGAAATGATTAATTGAGCGATGTTTTTTTATTATTAAAAAACTCAAACCTCAACCATTCGCTTGCAGGTATGAACCTTGATTCACATACTTCACTTTGCATACTGTTGACTCTCATATGAATTGAATTGCTTCAAGCCAAGCAAATAGATCTATAATCGATTACTAGTTGAGTTACAGGTAATCGAATACATTATGTGCTCACTAGCGACTAGCTTCGAGGGGTAATTCTCAGAGTTCCAGTGAAAATCCATGACTAGTGAAGTTGAACCGTGTCGAATGTGAGACAGTTACCCACTGAAGACAATCGAAGATAGTCTTTCATTAGACATTAACACCGTTGAGTGCCGGCTCAGTGTTCTAGATGTCAAGCATCCGCGCACTAGACCGAAGGTCGTGGGTTCGAGTCCCACACGTGGGGTCATGGATGTGCACTACTGAGGACTCCCATACTGGTAAGAAACAGTGCTTCCAGGTTAACTATGATGATCCAACATTGATCAGTTCATGATCTTAATTTAAACAAATTTTCATTTATGTCAATAAAATACCACTCTTTTTAATAATATCTATTATGCATCTCCTATATTTAGGTAAATATGATATGAGTTGTTTCTTTTTTTTGCGAATGATTATTGTCTATACGTTTTCCATGTACAATTATTATTAGACGAGAGAATTGTACCACTATATATCATCCTAGACGATACATTCACTATTGTTCTGTTTTACATTCCTTAAGTTATTGTTCATTAATTATAGAACAATGATTTAGTTGTCATATACCTACTTACCTACCTACCTAATGGGTATTTATGTTCATATTGTATCTTTTTATGTTATCATAGTTATTTCAGTTATGAATTGAACTATCCAGTAAAGTTATCTGCATGTTGTGTTGTTAACCTTGTTTTATTAGCTATAAGCTAAATGAATATGAGAAACTATATCCTGATAAATAGGGCGTTAAGATAATTTCAATCTTAAATTGTAGATTGATCTTCCTAATTGAGGAATATTATTGGTCAAAGCTTAAGACGGTATTCAATAAATTAAATAGTATATATGGGATAAAGAAAGATCATAGGATCCACATTGATTAATCATATCAAGTGATAACGATGAACGCTAATTCTAATTTAGTACAATACTGATTCTCAAAAAGATAATCATGTTATAAAATGGTATAATTGCATGACAGATAGACTCTCCTTGATTAAAGTTTTTTTAGAAACCATGCGTAACGCCATTGCTTGATATGATATCACCATACAGCTTACAACAAAACAGAATAGAGGTAATTTTATAGTTGAATTCATCAGTCAATTAAAGCTAGACCACTATGGAAAACCTGGAAGTACTGAATGGCCGTTTCATCCTATTGTGTGACTCCTCATCAGTGTATATCCACGATCTCGCTATCGGGATCTGAATCCAGGAGATTCTGTCTCGCGAGCAAACGCTTAACCTACTGAGACAGCATTAAACGGCGTTAATATCTGACTTCAACCAATCCACGAAATTGCGCGACCATCTTCCATTGTACTGAGTTAGATACCTGTCTCTATCCGACACGGATTAGCTCACTAAAACTCCGAGAATTCACTCACGAAGTTAGTCGCTAGCGAGCACATGGTAATTATCAGTATAGGGTTGTGAAGATTACTAAGTTTTTGATTGAGATCATAAACCGATTGATGTTGGACCACCACTGAAAACCTAGAAGCACTGGAAGACCGTTTCATCCAAGTATGGGACTCCTCAGCAGTGTGCATTCATGATCCCGCCCTGCAAGATTCGTACCCAGGACTTATCAGTCTCGCGTGCGAATGCTTAACCTCTAGAATAGAGATAATATTGAAGTTTTCGATTATATTTTTTTTCACTGAAATAAAATTAACCTTCCTAATTAATCACTTCATTTGTATGATGGTGTATTCTTTTGATGTTTCTGTCAGGTACTGGAAAATTATTTATTTATTTGTAAATAAATAAACTTTACAAAAAAACCCCAACATAAAACCTCGAACAAAAACACCCCTAATACCTTGGGGTACAGGGGAGAGTCCGCTTTTTTTCTCGAAATGCTCTCACATGACCACACGTATACAGACACTACAAGGGAAGTCTTATTTACTGCCTTCTCGTAGCGAGGTTGTTGTTTACAAAATTGAGAGGACGAAAAGCGAATGTTCGGTGCTTTAACCGGATCGCTGGAAAACGAGAGTCCATCTAGGGAAGTTGGAAAACCCTCATTCCAAATCGATTGTACACATGAACACTTGTATCGAATCTTTGGTCATCGGCTACCATGAAACTGCATCTCCTGATGTTACTCTAATACATTACACTGTAGATTAGATCGTTAGGTCGAAGGCTTCAGATGTGACCCCTCCCCAAGGAAATCATCTTCTCAGTTTGAACACCCGAGCAGTAAAATAGCCCATATACAAATGAAATGCTTTATGTGTCACATATCTATTTAGTGACTCTTTATACTAATAAAAATAAACAGAATAATAACAATAACAATAATAAAACATTTTCACCTTGAATACAATTGAAACTTCTTATTAGATATAGGTAAACTGGCTAATTTTAATTCAAAATATCTAGAAGAGAGAAAATACAGAAAAAAAAACAAAGAAACAAAAGGAAATTATTGTGTAGATTTTCTTTTGTAAAATAATAAATTAGTTTGATGAATTAAAAAATTTTTTTGCTTCATTGAATGTGATTAGTCTTGTTACTATTATATACCTTCTACATTGTCTTCTTAGACTATTCTGAAATACTTATGAATGAAAGCTTTACTTCAATGTTAGTTTATATGAAGAAAATTGAAGGGATTTATAGAGCTATATACTATCTTAGACTACTGGAAATATCTGGAACCATGTGAAGTATTGAGTTTAATAACCAATCAAAACTAAGACATTTTCTATACGCTTTTGCAAAAATTCTATTCAATATTGATTGGATACAAAGTATCTTGAAGTTTCTGGGTTTTTACCAACTATGAAGAAGGATATTTTTGAAAATTCTTCAACAAAACATAACTTCTTGATTAACCATTGTTATTTCATGTACAAGTAGCGTTCAAGTTAAAAGTTTGGTGCCTACGACAAAATCATAACGACTGAGTAACATAGACCAGAATCGGTCATAGCGATCCGGATGAATTCACATTATGTCATCCTTAAGATTTTGAGTTTCAACTTTATATCACACTTTTTCTTCAGCAAATCCATTTGTTTTTCTCTAATCATATTTTATATTCCTAATGATTTTCACTAATGTCAATACTGTTACTACTTATACTACTCTGCAATCTACTTTGATAATTTTAGTCCACCGTATCGATATAGCGTGACAATTACAAATGATTTATTTTAACACATAAATATTGTACAAAGGGGCACCAAATAGATATGCACCATATAAACCATTCGATTCGTGTGAGAGCTGGAACACTTCCCGGCTGCTCAACCGAAACAGGTGGTTTCCTTGGAGGGCCACACTCGGAGCCTTTGACCTAAAGGTCTAATACACAAGGCAGTAGAGGAACGTGAGGAGATACAGTCCCATGGAAGCTGAAGACTAACGATTGGTTCATACGGCATATGTTCCTTCAGGATCCTGGAGACTATGTACACCATTGATTTAAAATCAGGGTTTTTCGACTCCCCTAGATGGATCCTCCGTATCCGCCAACGCGGTTCAGCACCGGACATTCGCTTTTTGTCCTCTCAATTTTGCAAACAATGCCCCGGCTAAGAGAAGGCATTGAGTAGGACTTCTGTGGCAGTGGTTGCATACACGTGGCCATTTAAGAGAGAGGGTGTATGCATTCTTTGTCCTCCCCTAAACTGTGAGATTTGAATTGTTTTATACCTTTCTTTCTACCAACTAATTCTTTCTTCCTGTATTATATCCTCATACACAATCTTTTTTTTATATATCATTGAAGTAACTACTTCTATGAATTCTATGTTCATCTTGTTGTGTTAATTAGGTGTGGCAACTTGGACCGATTTATATACATGCCTGATACTACGTTGTAATTGACTGACTATTTGTATAACTATTGGAATATAATTCATATTAGGTCTCATCTAATAAACCTTAATGCTTCTGATGATAACAAGTATCAGAAAAACACAAAACTAACATCTTAAAGCTTTCAATCAAATCACTTAAATTAAATATTAAGTAAAATACATTTGAATCAAGTAGTTTAATGGTCAATTCTTCAAACTTGATCAATATCATTGCCACAAATAGTAATGAATCTAAGATTTATGTAGGCTACCATAAACTAATCTAAAAGAAGAGTTTAATGTAAATCAACTACAATTTATTACTAGACATAGCTGGGTTTTTTTAATTATAATTTTAACCAACAACCGGAAATTAGATTGACAAATTTAAATAAAGTGAGTAACTATTCCTTAGAGGAATAGAAATTTAAGCTAAGAATATATGTGTTTATAATTCTGAATGACTTATGATAGTCATTTCTTACCCCAAATGCCATAGTACGGTCGAGGGTGGGGAGAGTTTGCTCTCTCTCTCTCGAAATGCTCTCACATGGTCATGCATATACAGCACTACCAGAGAAGTCCTACTCACTGACTTCTCGTGGCATTACTGTTGTCTACGAAATTGAGAGGTCGAAAAGCGAATGTCCGGATTGGTGGATATGGAGGATCCACCTAGAGGAGTCGGAAAACTCTGATTCAAAACCAATGGTGCACATGGGATGGGTCTAGAATCCTGAGGGAATAAATGGCGTATGAATCGATTATTGGTCAGTGGCTACCATGGGATTGCATCTCCTTACGTTGCTTCACTGCCTTGTGCATCAGACCCATTAGGTCGAAGTCTCCGGATGTGACCCTATAAGAAAACCACCTGCTTTGGTCTGGGCACCCGGGAAGTATGATAGCCCACACACAAACCAAGTGACTTGTGTGACGCATATGTATTCGGTGTCCCTTTGTACCAATATTTATATGTTCAAATAGATGAATAAATGACAAAAAAGTTAAACAAGAAAAGAAAATACTAGCAACTTCAAAACATCATCATTAAAGTTGAGTCATTATCAATGTAGAATATGACATAGTTGTGAATTAACTCTAAATACACACCAATAACATCAAATGAAAATGAATGAAATGACTTTGAAATAACATAGTAACAATGACAAAGAGCAAAACTGAGACAGAAAGAAAAGATGAGTGAAAGAATACTAGAATTCAAAATCAAGAGGATGTAAATTAGTCATTGTGAACGACTGTGAGTCGTTCCGCCCAAAGTCTTTAGCTACTAATTGCTGTTACCACATAAACACCAACTAGGTAGTCTGTACCAATCAACATAGTTCAGAACAACAATTAATGACTTCATTAAATTGATGCCATCCCTTAATTTGGTTGCCTTTATCCTTCAAATTATTCGAACACCAGCTAACAACATCCATCGAGGTACAAATCTATGCAGTCACAGATAGGCTTCAGTCAATGAATTGAGAAGTGAATCTCCATACTAATATCAATAGACCGGAAAAGCAATCCTTACAGAAAATCCTTTAAATAATTACGTGATATATAAATTAATGAACCAACGAAAGTCAAACATTACCGAATACTCAAACGTAGCTATTAACTTGACGAAGTGGTCAGACTTGCCTTTTGTGATGGCATAAGCGTGAAATATTGGCCGGAATACGTGTTTCTTTAAGTCCTACTGTAGTGAACGAGAATTCAGGTGTGGTAAACCAGTTTATTGTTTAACTCAAAGTTACACGATGCCTTCGTAAAATATAAAAACCACACATTAAATAAACCATTTGCACATCTTTCTTCAGTTTTACTTTACATGTTTCATGATTTTTTCAGTTCTGTTGTTACTGCAATTGCTCTCTGTTTCATTTCCTGATCTCTTCAATTTAATTTTCTCAATCTTCTGCTAGCAGATATTCCACTTCCGATTACTGTTACATACTATTATATTGTCAACCAAAATGGTATATACCACACTAAACTCTAGGCAGGTTAGTTGGGACAACATTAAAACTAAAGGCAACAAACATAAAGTATGAGGAGTAATCGTACAATCAACTATACTACGTTGTATTTCTGTCAAACAACCAGGATCTACAGAGATGCCAACTTTTCACAATGGAAAGAGATGATTGCAAAAAATATTGCCCATAAAAACAGCTCAACTCATCTCAAGTGCTATCTTCATCATATTTTAGAGAGTTTTTCAGGTGTGTTCAAACATGAGATTCCCTATTCGATCGAATTATGTACTTTAAATTTCGCGATCAATATGATACTGATAAGTTATCGAGTTGTAATTCATGTGAATAAAAAGCGCTAGATATTATGTTGTTTTTTTTTACATGGAGTACGGTGTGTTCATCTTGTTGTGCTAATGAGGTATGGCAACTTGAACCGATGCACATATGTGCCTGATCCTATGTTGTAGCTGACTGACTGACATGGAGTATGCAACCAGTCAGTTACAGTTTTCTATAAGACTTGGAAAATATCCGCATCAACTCAAACCAGAGGAAAACTACATGAAATACTATCTAGATAAAACTATGATAATACGATAATACTATTGTAATAAGTTGGACTGATATAGTTTTATGGGTTAATCAATTCACAAAACAGAATTTTCCTACCTTCATTCTACCCACAAAAAATTTATGTACATAAAATTCCAATATAAACATTAGATTAGAGTGCAGAAATGAACGGAATTCTTATCACAATAACGATCGCCTATAATACATGTTTATACATGGACAGATAAAGTCTGCTTACAAAATATTGAATTATTTAGTAACGTAGATAATAGCATAACACTTTTTTAAATGTACTTTAATCATAACTTGCTATAAAATTCAAATATGTATTCTAAGTCTAATTTAATACTTGTCAACCATAGGTAAAAGGCGTCAATGTAATGCATTCCTGTAATCTTATGAAACGTTATACTCCTTGTGTAATACAAACCCTGGAGTCACTCAGCTTCATAAATAACAATCAATTATTCAAGGTGTAACTGACCTTATGTAGGACAGAAATATTGATAATGGTAGATTACTGAAAAATGGCTGATGTCTCGTCTTGTATGTCTAGTCCTTGATCGATGGATATTTAATGTAATTTTAATGTATGAGTACCTCTATAGCAGTGATATATTAGACCTATATAAGTATTAGAAGCTTTTTTTAGGCTTTAAGATAGATTAAGAAGTCAATAAAGTGTAGACAATGTAAGGACAAGGTTTCGAGAATCAAAATGAATCCATCCTATTTCACGGTTTCTCATCAGCTCTAAACAGCCTGAAATCACAGTTATCAACATAATTTTTAAAAAAGTTTGGATGGTGATGTTGAAATGCATGGATACTCGAAACGGGACCGAATATCATAATGAGAACATGACAAAATATACCATTAAAACTAGTTAGGATTGACGCGTATTATAATGTTAGAAAGCAATGACGTAGAATAAAACAAATAAATCTGTAGTTATTAATTGTCATAATGAAGATACATGAGGATTACGTAAGTGTAGTCAAATTAACATGTGAACATCAATATGATTATGTAAAAGATATAAACTAGATGATGAAAATATGGGGTTGAAAAATAAAGATTATTGTTTTTGATTGAGATCATGAACCGATTGATGTTAGACCACAATCGGTTCATGATCTCATCAAAAACTTAATAATCTCCACAACCCCTATACTAGTAAAGATTATCTGATTAGCATTCAATTATTATGATAAAGACTAACCAGACTCTCATCCTGTATACATAAGTCAGTCAGGAAACCTTTGGTGAATGCCTCTGTAAAACGGAGTGATTGTCAATTATTTCAAATAGATTACTTCTATTCACTTTATGCCCACTAGCTAAAGGATGCCTGACAGTTGCACTAACGAAGAATTTACGAACAATGAAACAGGTTCCTAAAAATCTGTTCAAGAAACCTAGTACAAAATTTTTTGTGTCTGATTGGTTTTTTTTAGTAAGATTTTGTTTCTACGGCATAGGGTTGCCGACCCTATGCCCAACCCTTCTCCTTTACGCAGGCTTGGGACCGGTAGTAACTCCGGAACAGATACAGGCCAAGTTTTTCTGTGTCCTTCCAATATAATTTCTAACGCAGGTAAATATAAATTTATAGATACATTTCATGTTTCATAGGTTTTTTGGTTCTATTTCAAATGTTCATCTAAACAATATCTTAAACTTTTGTTCATAATTATACTACTGTCTATAATTTTGAGTAGTTTACAGTTGATAAAAAACGATAAAATAGAATGAATTCATTTTATATTCTATAAATGATATTATTGTTACTCTATTCAAATTTATCAAAAGATCTAATTGAATGAAATCTTCAAAATATACTCAATTGATTACAGTTTCATGACATATACAATAAATGTACTTATAATATAGAATGTCGCTATTGATTAATGACATGTGAACTAAAAAGAAAAGTCGGTATTCTTGGTGAGTTGATAAGATGAAATTAATCAGTAGAATGATAATTGATAGATGATGTACAACGATAAAAGGATGTAACTAAATGATAGCTACTCATGAGACTGTATTATTGACTTAATTTCACTGAATCATTAGAAATTAAAAATAAAACCGCTGCTAGCCAGATGAATGGGCTTTCTATACTAAAGAATAACATATTCACATACATAATTCAAACACAAAATAAACATAATGAAATGTTATGAATGACAGGAGGAAATGAGCTTGTAACTCACTCCCCGATTGATTGACTCATATACTATTATTTTATTTAAACATATAAACATTGGTACAAGGAGGTAACAAATAGATATGCACCACATAAATCATTCGGTTTGTGTGAGAGCTGGAACACGACCCGGTGCCCAAACCGAGACAGATGGTGTTCTTAAGAAGCCACACCTGAAGCCTTCGACCTAAAAGTCTAATCCACAATGCAGTGGAGTAACGTCAGGAGATGCAGTCCCATGATAGTCGGTAGCCCGTTCTATAAGGATACTGGAGACCATGTATACCATTGGTTTGGAATCAGGGTTTTCCAACTTCCCTAGGTGGATCCTCCGTATCCACCAACCCGGTTAAAGCACCGGACATTCGCTCTTTTCCTATCAGTTTCGTAAACAACAGTAATGCCGCGAGAAGGCATGCGAGAGCATTTTTCGAGGGAGAGCTTACTTTCTTCACTCTCGGCCGTACCAAAGCATTTGGGAGCGACTGACTCACTGCATATATACAAAACTCTTAAAACAGAATAGACGATAAATATTAATATAATTACATAGGTTAAGCATATACAACTTCTAACTCTAAACCTAAATTGATAAACCTAAAATAGATTCACGTATTCCAATTGTATGAACTACAATAATATAATCTAGTTTCCTAAACCAAACTAAACGAAACAGGGTTCGAATCATTGAATACACTTACAATAAATAAACAAAACATCTTGATAGCATAAAAAACAAAACGAAAATATTTCATTATTTAATTTATTAATTTTCAACATAAACAATCTTAGTCTTCAACACAAATCAAGTTGATAGATGTATACCTACACACACACACACACACACACACACACAATTCCATTGGTTCAATTCATAATACAATATAATGATTATGATTGTAATAATCACTGATTATACAAATCTATTATAATGATGTCTGAAATAAGTAAGGATAATCAGATAATTAGTTTTTTACTAATGGAATGAATTCAATTGGTATAGGAAATATAATAGTTGATTGTTTACCATTAGTTATAGAATTTAATGTATGTAAATAACGTAATTGTAATGCAATAGGACAATTATTTATTTCTAATGCAGCTGATTTTAATAAAGTTGATGCTTCTTTTTCACCTAATGCTAAAATAATTTTAGCTTTTGCTTCACGTGTTGCTTCAGCTTCAGCTGCCATAGAACGTTGTAATTGTAATGGTAAACGTACATCTTTAATTTCAACACGTTCAACTTTCATACCCCATATATCAGTTGATGAATCTAATGTTTCTTGCATTAATTCAGCTATATGTTCACGTTCTGTTAATAATGCACACATATCTATTGTACCTAATACATTACGTAATGTTGTTTGAGCTAATAAACGTGTAGAATAATAAGCATTTTTAACATTAACAACAGATAAAATTGGATTAAATATACGATAATATACAACAGCTTCAACAGCAACAGTTACAGAATCTTTAGTTAATACATCTTGTGTTAATACATCAAATGTATATGTACGTAAATCAACACGTTTTACAACATCTAAACAAGGTATAATACATAATAAACCTGGACCAATTGGATCATTTAATATTAAACGACCTAAACGAAATATTACCGCTCTTTCATAATGTCTTATAACATATAAACAAAATATTAATGAGAATGGTAATGTGATAAATAAAAATAAATAACTAAAAAATATTAAAATACGTTCACAATATAATAGAATTAAATGATTCGATAAATCATTTGATTCAGGATAAGATGATGGAGTTGATGGTGATTGAATAGTTGGTCTATTCATCATATATAATGAATCAGAGGACAATGTTGAATAACGATGTGTTTGGTGTTGTTGTTGTTCTGGTGATGTTTACGACGACTTTGTTGTGATTTCATTTCTATGAAATGGTTTGACCTATTCTTTTCAATAGAATCATTATTATTATTAATAAATCGATTCATAATTGATAATGGATAATCCGTATTGACTAATGATTTTGTAGTGCTCATATTATGACTTAAACGTCGTGCAAAAAAAATACGCCATTTCTTAGTAAATACTGATGAATTAGGAGTAATATCATATGGAAGTACATTCATAGGTTCTACAGTAAATTCGGTTTGTAATCTAGATGTATCATTTATAGGTGGTGTTATTGTTGGATATAAATCTGGATTGAACATAATCTGATAATTGGTTTACATAAGAATAAATTAATTATTAAGGAATCTATCAAGTTAAATATAATACACAATTCCTGTCGGTAGTGTCTTTTCTTTTTGACAGAAAATCTACATTTATTTATATACAACGGTATTCATATCCGTATGAAAAGAAGAGGGGGGGGGTGGAAGTCAAGTAGATACACATTAGCTTAACCAACACTGTTCCATATGAAAATAGATTTCCATTGTCTGGAACACAATTCTACTACATAGTAGTAGATGGGTAGACAAACATATACACACTTGGATCAAAGTAAGCCTATCATTTTGCATTTCAAGGATAACACGAATAAGATAAACCAATTAAATTTCAAGAACAAAGTTCTACATGTAATTTATATGAAAATTTTCTGAACACACTTAATATACTACTTAAGACAATATAGGTAGTTTAATTTATTTAACATAATTTGAAGAACATCAGTAGTGTGTGTATCGAATATTGGTTCGATTGGGAGTCGTATATTTTTGACAAACATGTAGACGATTGAACACTGTGTGATAAACAGTAAAAAGTCCTCTTTTAATCGAACTTTAAAATCCCTGACAACTATTGAATATAATCAAAGAAGGGTTTTTGTGGATATTATAGTATTTTAATAGTTGAATTCATGGATTGGTTGGATTTAGACATTAACAACGTTAGATGCCGGCCAGCTCAGTGGTCTAGTGGTTAAGAACTAGCGCGTGAGACTGAAAGGTCCTGGATTCGAATCTCACGAGGCGGGGTCATGGATGCGCACTGCTGAGGAGTCCCATACTAGGAAGAAACAACTGTTCAGTGCTTCCAGGTATTCCAAAGTGGTCTAGCTTCAACTCAATTAATTCAATTATTAAATTATTGAATAGGTATATTTGTAAATCAAAGTTATACTATATTTAGTTGAAAGAGTTTAAAGAAGATAGGTTTAATTAATACATTACACTTAGGACAGACTGATCCCGGTTGAAGTACCTTTGAAAACCTTCGGAGCCCTCACCAGCGATTCTAAGACTTTCAGGTTGGTCTCTAAGCAAATATTTCACTATCAGGATCACTGAGTAGGCATCCAATATTATATTTATTGCGGGACGATTGTTCGTTTTTTTTCACCATGAAATGGCATCATTACTAAAACTATGTACAGATTTATAGAGTTTAGAAGCATATTTGTAGATCTATGAAGCTAAACAAAATCCTACAAATTTAACCTGACATTGACAATATATGCCAACAGAAAAAATTTATACCAAACCTATGAAGCTACTACAAGAAAAAACTAAAATTTCCAATTCCACATAGGTCTATTTTTAGTTAAGTAAAATTTATTTGAAGCGTACACATGTAGAACAGTAGTTATTTGGTTTGACAAATTGAATTCCGACTATTCGAATGTCAATTTAAATCCTTCAGAACACGAAAAAGTACAATGTTAAATCAAAATTATACTATATTAGGTTGGATTTATGTATTGGTGTTAAGTTATCCAACTATTCAGTCAATGATAAACAGCGTAGAACCTAGCATGTATACGAATCAGTTCAAGTTGCTACAGTAGATCAGCACAATGAGATCAAAACAAATACCAGAGTAGTATAAGTAGTAACAGTATCATAGATATCAGGGAAGATTAATCCTTGGCAATGTGATTTAAGAAAAACGAATAAATTCGCGGAATAAAAAGTATATGTTAAGATTCAGAGTATAAAGACAAACAAAGATTGAGTGCATGAACTCCGTTGTGATTGATTCTGAGGCACATCACCCAGTCTCCAACTATTGGTCATAATAATCGTGCGGATTCCAACCAGGTAATCTGCATCTACGTACCTTAGTTCAACAGTCAAGGAATTGATGAACTGATGCCATATCTTAATTTGTTTATTTCATAGGTTTGTTCCAACACACTCTTACACTACCAAATTGACTAATACATTGAGTTCGAAACCAAATTCATTCAATAGTCGATGTAAGCTGTCAAGTCACTATGCTGACCTAACACAAGCATGGCTGTTGAAAAAAATGAACTGAAGAAAGAATAATTCGGTTTAATCAATTATAAATATTGAGCACACCAACAAATGGATATCAGTAATCCCATAATTGTTTTCCCAACCGTCTATTCATTTTATTGCTACACTAGTCGCGTAAGTCGAGTGGTAAACACGTTTGTTGTAGACTAAATCAAAGTCTTAGCTTTATTCAAATCGGTGATAAGAGCTGTTTTGGTGAGCGACTTGGTAATAAATATGAATTTTAATTGGTAAATATACAGCGATAAATTGCGGTAGTTTGTTAAGCAGACATAACTCGAATCAATATATATGACAGCACTACTACTAGTTTTGTGTGGACATATCAAATTAATTACCCTATATGAATAAGGTTGAACCAGGAGGATCCGATGCAGACGTAAAGGCGAGGATTGGTAAATCAAGACTAGCATTCTTACAACTGAAGAACATATGGAACTAAAACCAACTATCAACCAATATCAAAGTCAGAGTCTTCAATATGGACGTCAAGACAGTCCTACTGTATGGAGCTGAAACTAGGAGAACTAGTACAACCATCATCAAAAAGGTACAAGTATTTATAAACAGTTGTCTACGCAAGATATCAACATTCATTGGCCGGATACCATTACCAACAGCCTACAGTGGGGGAGAACAAACCAACTTCCAGCTGAAGAGTAAATTAGGAAAAATGTTGGAAGAGGATAGGACACACATTGAGAAAATCATGAAACTGCATCACGAGGCAAGACCTAACTTAGAATCTTGAAGGGAAGCGGAAAAGAGGAAGACCAAAGAACACACTGCGTCAGGAATGGAAAGCAGACATGAAAAGGATGGACAGCGACTGGAAAGGATTGTCCAGGACAGAGTTGGATGGAGAACGTCGGTGAGAGTCCTGTGCTCCTCCACGAGGGGTAATAGGTATAAATAAGTACATGAATAAGGTGAAACACATAGTCAACAATTCACACAGTGTGTCGCGTTTTTTTTATCAAAATAAGAGGTCATTAAGTGTTAGGCAAGAGTGTTATCAAGTGACAATTAGGATACTTTACGGTTACAAATAAGGTGATCCTGAGTTAGAAAGGAGTTACGGAGACCTAAAGCACATGAGTGGTTTGAATAACCACTGTAATTCCCGAGACTGAAGATTTCATGTTCGCATGCGTTCTGACAGTACTTATGACAACCAGATGGGAATAATATTGACTAATTATTACAACCTGACCAGAGTGTCTGATCTATTGTCAAAAGGTAGTTTATAAACATGATGTTGAGTGGTGTAAGCCATATCTTCGGAGAAGTTATAATTTCTATTATCAAGGATGTGGATATCATGTATTGCTAAAACCTAGGTAAGATAGGATATCTTACCAGTTGTCTCTAGATAAATAAAATTCCTTCAAAAGATAGCAAATATTACTGACAAAAGTACAAGCACAAACATTTAGTTTGATCTGACATTTGACGATAACTAAGTCAATCGTATTCAACGTAGAACCTGAGACATGTATCCACAGGTTTGATTTGCTACACCATACCACTAGAGCGAGATCCTTGACAGTGCAAGTAGCAACAGTATTAGTGGTAGTAATAAAGATTAGGTATGAATGACATGTTTCAAGAAAATATGGATTCGAGTAACAAAAAATTTCTTAGGATAGGTGATAAACTTAAGACCTAAGGGAAGATGATGTGTGAATGCCTCTACGCCACTGAGGACAACTCTGTTCCATAACCTCCAAAGTCTACAGCCGATAGAAACCGCGATTGTACGAACTTTAAATGAGTAATTTAAATTTACTAGCATGCCTCAGTTAATAACTTTATGAACTGATGTTATGTTTTTGACTTATTCGCCTTTATCTTTCTACCAACTAAGTATTCAACCAAAGTTAATAACTTCAGAATGCGAAGTTACACTTTGTATGAAGGCGGCTTTTAACACTCTATAAATGCCTGAATTGAATTGTATGGAGTAAGAGGTATGAACTTGTAACTCAATGCTATATGTAAACAATTTTAGACAGCTTAGCTATTCTTCCCACTTTTTATAAATATTTTTTAACATAATACTGATTTAGTCTTTACATGCTTTATCATACATTATTACAGATTTACAACAAACAACTTAATTTAAGTAGGGTATCAAAAGAATGGGCAAAAACAAGATGAAGCGATTGTATTGTGAAAAAGAAAACAGATAGAAAAGCTTCACAATTAGTAAATAAACAAAAAATCAGATTTAATAAAACATTTGTATCATTTGAAAACACATATGATGTGAATTTCTTTCAGTTATGGTTATGTGGTGGTACGGTCACCAGCTACCATGGGACTGCATCTCCTGACGTTGTTTCAATGCATTGTGGAACAGACCTTTAGGCCAAAGGCTCCAGGTGTGGCCCCTCAAGAAAACTACCTGTTTCTGTCTGGGCACCCGTGCAGTATCACAGCCCTAACACAAATCGAATGATTTATGTAGAGCATATCTATTTGGTGCCCCCTTGTACCAATGTTTATTTGTTTAAATAAATATAGTGGAAAACTGTAATGTCAATGGTGTGTATTCTGAGTTGTTCGATAATATTTGAAGCCACTGGAGTTGTATTATTTACACTACCCCAGACAAAACAGTTAAGATGAACAACAACTAGTCCTATAGAATTATCTTTTAAACCACGGTGTCGTATCATAAACGGACTATTTATCCGCATTTTCAACGTACAATGTACAAGTTATTGCGATGACTATCTTGGAGTATTTTCAAACTACTGAAGCGAATGTTTTAAAATTGTGGCACCGATTTAACTGTTATCATTGCACCCAGACGTATTATGGAAATTCGGAGTTACTCATTCTTGTTACTTGATAAAAACAATCCTTAAGAAATGACAGTAATCAAACAGAATCATTGAACATCTTCATCTCGAACGAAGTCCCTTCATTAACTCGTTGGATCCATAGCCTTCTGCAAATAAACTAATAGATCGTGTCAAAAATAGTTCAGATCAGCACAAATATTTATGGCTTCCACCATACGTATATTGATCTTATATGCCAATCAACCTTGCTACAGATGACATTTTCGATATAAATAATGATAAAATTATCTGTTTACCCCCCCCCCCCAAAAAATCGTAATGTATATCTCTTCTGGTGACTAACAACACCCACTATAAATACAACTAACTTGTCTATTACAGGATAAAACATGTTCACGATAAACAAAATTCATCTAAGAATTGTTTATTTGATAGAAGATATGTCAAATACAGCCTTAATATAATGAATACCATAAACTGGGGGAAAAAACCTCAAGTGAAAAATAAACAGAAATTGTTATTGTTATTTAGTTGAACATTATCTAGAACAAATTCTCCACACATAAAAAAAAAGAATAACAGCATTGATGTAAAACAGTTTCGACAAAACACACTTCATTCTCATATACACTTGTAAGTTATGCATCATATCCTTTGAATAAAGAAATCCGACATTGATACAAACCAAAAAAAAGAAGAAAACAACCTTGCATTGTAAATTGTTACTTAACCGTGAACTTCAGGAAAAACTGTTCCAGAAAAATCCCACTTTCTTTGATTGGAAAATTAAAGTATGATATTGATGCGACGTAAAAATTTATCAGGATTACTTCAATTAATGTTATATATCCCGATGAGATTAATGAATGGTGACTTTTGGGATCCATTTATAGACCAATACTATACGTATATTTTGTATTGTATAACTGTTAAGTAACTAAACTATTCATATTCGTATCCCTCTTATTATGAGCTTTTTTGACCTATAAACTAGTATTATACGACTTACTATTCTTGGCTTCTACCCAGTCTATCAATTACTATCTCCTACATTCACAGCCACTTTGGGCTAAATCTCGTACATATGTGTATTTTCTATTTTATGGTGTGATGTGATCTGTTAGGTTTGCACATAAACCCAAGTATGTTTAAAATCAATCATCAATGCCCTGGTACGGCCGAGAGTGGGAAGAGTCAGCTCTCCCTCTCCCAATGCTCTCGCGCATGGCCACACGTATATAGCCTCTGCCAGGGAAGTCCTACTCACTGAATTCTCGTACCATGGGTGTTGTTTACGAAATTGAGAGAACGAAAAGCGAAAGTCCGACGCTTCAACCGAATTGGTGGACATGGAAAGTCCACCTAGGGTAGTTGGAAAACCCTGATTCCGAACCAATGGTGCACGTGGACTGGATCCAGTATCCTGATGGGACAAATGACGTATGAACCAATCGTTGGTCGCTGGCTACCTTGGGACTGTATCTGCTCACGATGCTCCACTGCCTTGTGGATCAGAAATTTAGGTCGAAGGCTCCGGGAGTGACCCCCTAAGAAAACCACCTACTTCGGTCTGGACAGCTGGGCAGTATCACAGCCCTCACACAAATCAAATGAGATTTGTGTGGCGCATATATATTTGGTGCCTCCTTGTACCAATGTTTAGGTGTTCAAATAAATAAATAATATATAGCATATCGCAGAGGCTGAGATTAGTGTTCTAGACTTAACGGGCAGGGGTAGACAGGAAGCAGGATCGTTAAGGACTCTAGACTACTCGTCGTTGGTCCGGTCGATAATTCACTATTCTCTAATAGGCGGGTATCACTGATAGGGCACAAACCCACAAGTTATAACAATTCACTGTTTTAATGTTAGCAGCTTAAAGCGTCTACTAGGATTTGAGTTGTAAATTGTCAAGAGTCAACTACAGTAGTTAAATGTGTTAAAAACTTTACACTAAAATACATAACGCAGCTGTATGATTAATGTGGACATTTTGCTGGATTAAAATCACTTCATATCTTTCTTTCTACGAACTAATTCTTTCTTCCTATACTATATCCTTATTGCAATCTTTCTCCTATATATTACCGCCTTTGACCTAACCACTCCTATGAATCCGGTGTTCATCTTGCTGTGCTAATGATGTATGGCAACCTGGGCCGATGCCTACATGTGCCTGGTCCTACGTTGTAGCTGACTGACTGACTGAATAATACATTATCTGAGTAATTAAACTTTACCGAAATTCCCAATTAAGATGCGAGCATTAAAAAAGTTACACTTAATCGAGAAATTGTGGAGTTAAATTGGTGAGACTATAATTTATGGACGACCTTTGAGCGACGACAAACTGACCTTGAGAGTATACACCTAATAACCACGACCGCATAAGGGTTATAAACTAGTGTGAGGTAATAGAATTATGATTTGCAGTTAATGGTTAGGGTTAAGAATTAGAATTAGGGTTTTCATCACATCAGATATAATGCCAAAACTCCATTTACCCAAATGGATGAATGAATTTCGCGCTAAAATCCGAAACCTGTTATTTTGTACCTGATTAGTTCGTCCATAATTATAGTCTTGCCGTTAAATTCTACGAAAAGCAAACGATAATTGCACATACATAACGTACACTAAACGAATGATTTAACTCAGTAAATAAAGTGAAGTCCATGAAAAATATTGATTCCCTTTACTTTTTAAGACTGACACTTAGTTTTCAAATATAATTACAACAGAGAGAGTTCGACTTCAACCATTACCTATTCAGCTATACCAGCAATATCACGAATTGTTAGACATAAAGTAACTCGAAACTAGATAAACGAGTTAGTATTTGATTACTTATTTGAGTAGTTAACTTTTTTCTCACTCACAACTCAAATTGACAAAAATTTTCCAAGTTTCCATACTAACTTAACCCTAGAGTCAGCTAGACAAATCCGAATATAATATAATGTATCATCATCTATAGATTTGTAGACAAAGCCAAAATCATGCAGTTTGGCTTTAATGGCTTTGACCATTGGAGGATGAGAAGGTAAAGAGTCGTTAGGAAAGAATTCAAAAACCTGGCTAATAATCGTAATTCGATATCATTTTGAATATCGAATGCTTTAACCCAGATGTCATATGGAAGACGTTTAGACTGATTGTGTACCCAAATATAATCAAATCCAGCAATCTCAAGTATTTAAAAACATTTCTACGCAAAGCTTGACGTGAAACAGTATGCAGTACAGCCATCGAATAAGTGGGAAAATGACCAAAAGTGGTGGGAACAACACACTTGGTTTCCACCAAGAACTGACATCAGATATAATGATATGAATCTATTTAGCCAAATGGATGAATGAATTTCACGCCAAAATCCAAGACCTGTTATTTTATACCTGATTGGTTCGTCCACAAACTATAGTCTCAACGAAACTACTTCAGTATGGAGGTTGTGGAGCTTGTTAAGTTTTTTGGTTGAGATCATGAATCAATTGATGTTAGACCACCGTTGGAAACCTGGAAGCACTGGACGGCAATTTCGTCCTATTACCGGACGACTCAGCAGTGTGCATCCACGATCCCGCACTCCGCGGGATTCGAACCCAGGACTTAATGGCTCCGCGCCTGAGCACTTAACCATTAGACCACTGAGCCGCCATCCAATGGTGTTAGTGTCTAACATCAACCAATCCACGAAATTGCGCGACCAACTTCCATTGTACTGAGGTAGATACCTGTCTCTACCCGACACGGATTAGCTCCTGGGTTCGAATCCCACGGGGTGCGGGATCGTGTGTGCGCACTGCTGAGGAGTCCCATACAAGGACGAAACGGCCGTCCAGTGCTTCCAGGTTTCCAACGGTGGTCTAACATCAATTGATTCATGATCTCAACCAAGAAACTACTTCAATTGATATTTAATTATTGTCTAATACGAATTTAATTATACTGATATCAATGTAATTAAAATTGAAAATCAAACTTAACAGCATTTGAGTTTTTGACAATTCAAGAATAAATAGGATAACTACTCAAATGCCCCCAAATGCCGTGGTACGGTCAAGAGTGTGGAGAGTCAGCTCTCCCTCTCGAAATGCTCCTACATGACCACGTGCACACAACCACTGCCACGGAAGTCCTACTCACTGCCTTCTCTCAGTTGGGGTGTTGTTTACGAAACAAAGAGGATGAAAAGCGAATGGCCGGCACTTTAACCGTGTTCGTAGACACGGAAAGTCAGCCTAGGAATTGGAAAACCCTGATTGCAAACTAATGGTGCACAAAGGCTCCAGTACCCTGAAGGAATAAATAGTGTATGAACCAATCGTTGGTCGCTGGCTACCATGGGACTGCATCTCCTGACGTTGTTTCAATGCATTGTGGATTATACCTTTAGGCCAAAGGCTCCAGGTGTGGCCCCTCAAGAAAACCACCTGTTTCTGTCTGGGCACCCGTGCAGTTTTACAGCCCTAACACAAATCGAATGATTTATGTAGAGCATATCTATTTGGTGCCTATTTGTACCAATTTTTATGCGTTTAAATAAATAAATACTCAAAAATTTCTTATTTTTTCTTTGGAATTTGTTCTTAATTCTAATACTCTTTCTTAGGATTATTTGTATAAAAAAATGGTAGTTACTAAATCATAAAATGATAGAAACGATAAATAAAGAAATCTACTGAAACATATATAAACTTACTCTCTTAAAAGACGACGTCTCAATTGAAATTCATTTGATCGCTGTGATGTTAATACTTTATTTAATAATTCAACAGATCGACCACTTTTTAATGGTTTTATATTTTCTTTAGATAATTCCCATTCAAAATTATCAGTTTCAGACCTAAATTAATAATAAATATGATTCGAATATACTTTACAGATAATTAAAAAATAACCAATATTGAAGCAACAAACAATAAAACATAATAAATAACCGAGTGAAGTAATAAATAACAAACTATCTAGTGCAGATATGCTTTGTTTTAAAATGGATAGAGGAGAGATGGAGAATTAATAAAATGAACAGCAGAAAGATACAAGTCACTATACCAACGGCAGAAAGGAACTAAACAGACAACTTTTTTTAGTAAATTGTTCGTGACATTCAAATGCTGTTAGGAGCCTATCAAGCTATGTATACATATGATCTTCATTAAACTTAACTAGGCTATCTAAATCAAGAGAAAATGGGAGTATGAAAGAATTGATAATTTCAGTTAAAAGGCTGCTCTATCCCATTTAGTGTTAAGCGAAATTCCTGAGAGTGCTGGCTTCGGGTCAATATTACTCATATAGGATGACAATTCTAGGTTTTTGAAGTATCATACACATAGTTCCCCTCATTTTGAAGAGAGCAAAACAAATATTTCGGCAGATTAGCATGGATTTACCATTGCTTACGACGGTCACGCGGACTTCAACCAAGTAGTCTGAATCTACCAACATGGCTAAGACAAGAATTTAGTGACTTCAAGGACTTATGCCATGTTTTGGTTTGTCCGCTCCTAACTTTCTTCCAACCGTCTCCAACACTAATCAGCATTAAGCGTCGTGGTAATAGGTGTTCAGGTATACATAACACGTGGCCTAACCACCTCAGTCGATGAAGATTAACAACCTCATCAACTGATTTACCATCATTTTCTAATACCCTGCGTCTAACCTCACTATTACTTACCCGGTGATCCCAGTAGATGCGAGCAATATTTCTAAGACATCTGTGATCAAATCCTAGCAACTTACGAGTATCTTATACTGTTAATGGCCACGTTATGTAGAGCAGAACAAACTGCCGCACAGTATACTCGCTTTTTCATTGATGGATGGATATCTTGCCTTCGCCAATAGGTGACGTAAGTTGGCAAAAGTCAAACGAACTTTCTGAATCTATGCTGAGATTTCGTAAAACACCAACCCATTCAGGCTGATCAGAATTCCAAGATAAGTGAAGTTGTCAACGCGTTCGACTACTTCACTCCCCATCCTTAGTTCAGGTTTTGACGCAAGTCAGTTCCGAAGCAACAACTCGCATTTAGAGGGAGGGAGAAACACACCCCAAACATCCTGGCATTCTTGCTCAGTGCTATCAAAAGACTCTGTATTTTATCAGCGTCTTCATCAAACAGGACCATATCGATAAGTGGACCTTCTTTTAGGAGATCAATGCCCAAAAATTCAGTCCATGAGGGCGTTGTTTCCAGCAGTAGGTCTATGATGAAGTTGAACAAAGATAGAGATAGTGGACAACCTTGACGGACACCACTTGAAGTTGCAAAATCAGATGACCGTTCGCCATACACTCCGACTCGACTGACAGTGTTCGAGTAAAAAGCCTTTACATTGTTTATGTACTTCTATTAATTGACTGTAGTCACTTCCGTCTTGTTTTCTTTAGGTTTTCTATATTTGCCAATGGGTTTCTGTGGGTAGCAGTTGCCTCTTAAGTATTTTTCAACGATCATCAAATTCGTTATTGTTTTTGCAAAGTTTAGGAGACACCCAAAACCTGGAGGCCGGGACAAGACTTGATAGGGGTATAAAAAATATTTTGAAAGACCTTTATATATTATTGAAGGATTCGGCGTTTATGAAATGCGAAACACTGACAGTAAGAGCCTCATGATCCATAGCGGTCATCAAGACATGCATAATTATACAAATAATATTGTATTACCCATTGTGCAAACGTATAATGATCAAAGAGTTGTTATTAAAAATCTTCGAGGAACCGCAAGGCTATCCTCAGACTTATTTACCTAGCATTCAAAGAGTTTATGACACTTAATAACGTATTTTCTAGTCCAAAGTCAGGGTGCTGTACGCGAACACCCAGTCTCCGTCTGAAGAAATATTATAAACTGCTAGAAACAGGTCAAAGGATAAATTCAAAAATGAATTAAGGAATATTTTTCACATGCCACTAAACTAGCGAAGTTCGATTTTTTTCTTTTATGTCATGTAAAAATGTCTAAGACGTTTCGACTAGAATATAAAAAGCATTAAAAAGTGGCAATCCTCATAAAATGATCTTACTGTTCTGTAGAGTGATCTTGTATTCGAATTATGTATTTTAAATAGTGATAAGGATGCTAAAATGGCCTACATTTCTCCTTTCTCTAGGGCTAACTATCTCCAAGACCAACAGAAATGTCCAAACACTACGATCAAACAAACCGAGGATGGAGTTCTGATTAAATTAAATTGTCAACGATTGAATAGTCTTGACTGGACAAGTAGTATCGACCACATGGGTGGACACTATTAAACGGAAACTGGACCTTCGCAGAAATGGGACTAACACAGGTCAAATTGCCTTATATTTTCATTACTGAGTAGTGAAATGAATTCAAGATCACAAACATACTGAAGCATAGATATAGATCCCATCCAGTTTAACTGAAAGTAATGGAACTAGAGCACATTCAAAACATAAGGATAATGGATATGACCTTGATATATCAAGCTATTCATGAACACCAATCCAAAGGATCACTTCTGGTTTTTGGTTGAAAAAAGAGCCTGAAAGTATCAACAAGGTTTTTGACAGAAATAAGTTTGAACTTTTAGAAGATTAAAGTCTATTGTTATGGAATTTACTACAGAAGATAAATCTAACAAAAATGATCAACTCATTTGAAAACGGCTATAAATCTATATTAGGACCAAGCGTTCTGCAGATATATTTTGACTGTATACCTTCAATTAACCTAATTTGTTAATACTCGTGTGGAAGCGCTACGAGAATATATGATTATTTACATCTAAAATCCGGATTCGAATTGCAAGGAATGCTGGTTGATAATTCAGGGCGGCGGAATTCAGAATGTGGAGCAGTTAGACGACTTATAGCATCAACCCCTGAAAAGATAAAAGACTGTCAACTATTTTCCCAATAAAAAACTGAAGTATGACCACATACGTATTTTGACTAACGCACTAATTGACCGTGGTTGAAATAATAAAAACCGAGTCTGCCTACTTAATTTGCCTTACATCATCCAACAACTGGATGGCCCGCGCTGAATCGTCAAATACCGGTTAACGCGCGATCTGGTGTCCAATACCTAGGCACAAGCTTGTATGTGTAACACACAATGTTAAACGAGAACTTTACACCAAGATAGAACAGGGAATGGAAGCCACGAGTCATTTATTTGAAAACCAAAATTCACGGGTGATGTACAGAGCAGAAAGCTAGTTTACAAAATAGTCTTATGAGTCATCCTGTAAGTTCAGTGCATGCAGGGCTTGCTCGTTTTCTACCAAAGCATTTATCCTTGGTCGCCCTGTAGTAGAAAGAAAGACAGAATCTATTACCAGCGCCCTACATGATAATTTTAATCCCGTTACATCGTCCCCTCTCCCAATAAGGCACTGAGGACAGTGCCTGGTCTCGGGCATGGATATGCTGCTCGTCCTCCTGATGGTACTTCATAAAACCTGGTGGCCTGCAGTGGGTTGGTGAACAGAGCCTCACAGAGTACTGCCATTCGATCTAGTTTTATTTGGTTTTAGTGTACCGTTATCGGGTGAGGACAATTCAGAAAGGACATTGCCTGGGTTATTGGAATTCACTGAAACTGCCTAATGATGTCATGGTGCGGCACATTCAGACGCAATCCACGACTGTATACGCTGGTCCTTGCACCTGGCATATCTTTTTAGCGTCCGCTAGCCTTGCGCAAGTTGATGTTGACCAGGCGGTATGCATCAGCTAGGCGGTTACGGAGAGTGGGTATGTACGGTACATGATCCTGTTCTTCACAAAGCAGCAAGAACGACTTCATCTTCATCGGTAGGCGTAATTCGTGCTCGAACAGTAAAATAGCAGGTGAGAATCCCGTGAACCGATGTACCGACGTACGATATGCTAATAGGCATTGATGGAGCATATAATCCCGTTACTCGTACGACGATCTGCTGACGAACGACTGTAAGATGGCTCTAAGAGTTCTGGCTGTTGTTTCCACGAGGCCGTTACTTTCTGGGTGAAACACAGTAGTATGTGTCTTCCTGATTCCTAATAACTGGCATATCTCAGCGATGAGATGACTTTCAAAGGCTAGACCTTGGTCGGAATGAAGTGGGAATGGGGCACCATAACGGGAAACCCAATGATCGATGAAAGCTCGGGCAACCGTAAGGGCGTCTTGCTGCGAAGTGGGTACTGCTTCATATCATTTGGTGCAAGTACGACGGGTTGTTAAGGATTGATCGTTGAACTCCGTCATGGATGGTTTATTGTTTCCATGTAACTGTCTTTGGTAAATAATCTGCAGGTCCGGATCTACTGTTTTCAGGGAGGGCCAATCAGTCTCCAGAGTTGTACTCAGAATTGCGTTAACAGTATCTGTGGTCTGAGGTATGCGGGAAAGGGCGTTCGCGTTTATATGTTGGTTTCCTGGTCGATACTCGCATGTGAAATCAAACTCTTGTAGCCGTTCCTTCCATTGTGCCACTTGCCTTTCTGCTTCTCATAAAGAGCGGAGCCACTGTAATGCACGGTGGTCCATGCGCACACGAATGGGTTTGACCAGTAGATAATGACGAAGGTGTTATAAGAATTTTACTAATGCTAACATCTGTCGACGTGTTGTGGAATGCCTTGCTTCACTCTTATCTAGTTGTCGACTGGCATATGCGATAACCCTTTCCTGTTTATCTCGAGCTACTGCTACAATAGCCGAGGAACTAGCATCCGTATTAAGTATAAATTCGCCTCCGTCTGCTGAAGTATCCGAGAAGGCTAATATAGGTGGGGAAGTTAAGCGTGCCTTCAAAGCATCGAACACCTGCTGACACTCGCTGGTCGATAAAAATTTCCGTTATCTGTGCGTCAATCGATTCAAAGGTGCTGCTAGTGATGCGAAGCCGTGAACAAAGCGTCTGTAATAAGAAGCTAGCTCAAGGAACTACGGACGTCTTCAAGTGATTTTGGCTGCGGCCAATTAACAATCGCTTGTGTATTTTCTTTGTCTGTGCCTACCCCATCTACAGTGATACGATGTCCCAAGAAGATTACTTCTTTCTAAAGCAGGCTATATTTGGACGGTTTCACTTTAAAATGGTGTTGTCTAAGATATTATAACTTTATGTCTGACTTTTTATCACGTGGTTTACCCACCAATCAAAATACGACTTACACAATCTTCGCACTGTGCCAAACTAATGACTCTCGACCGGTATGGGCAGTCTAGCGTCCTTATTGGTCCTATATCCGCCTAGCCCGTCCACTTGAGTCCAGAACAACAATACCAGCTTCCAATATGCGAATAAAATATTTCAAACATACTGTGTTTATGTATCAGACAAACAGACCGCAACGCGCCATAAAATAGGAAACAATATTTGTACACAGTAAAGCCAAAAAGTGGCTGTGAACATGGGAGGCAGTAGTTAATAAACTGGGTATAATTTAGGGACAGTAAATCGTATAATAATAAATTATTGGTCAAAATGAAGCTTATAATAAGGGGAATATAAATATACAAAATACAATTATTGAATAGTTATACAATAAGAATACTCATAGAATATTTGTCCATTAGTAGTGTTGCACTGTAGTGGTCCGATTTCCGGAAAACTTCCTCCAAACACAGAACTAAACTTCTGGAGCACAGCATTCGTTGCGCGGTGATCATTCTCTGTTACTATTTGATTTTTATGTACCTGACATACAAGTTCTGAAATCCCCACATGGGCTATAGATTTAGTTGACATCTCATAGTAGAGCAGGTGTACCACAGCCTCAACAATTTTTGCTTCTGACCTATCCATGAATATAGAGACTTGATGTTTTAGCATGAAATCAACGCCGATAATCATGTCCCAAGTTAATGCAGGACAAACGAAGAATTCGTGCCCAAACTAATGCTTTTCCCATCGTGAGGTCTAACCACGCCTTAAACCACACCTTCAAAGGATCACCACTTGCTGTGATTAACGTAGAGAGATATCGATTTTGTTGAGTTTTATGGTTTAGTTTCCTCAAGAGCGTTTGCTTGATAAGAGATACCGAAGATCCCGTGTCTAGTAATATCTCTATCTCAACGTCTTATACTCTAGCTCTAACCATAATCGGGTAGACATGAGTAACATGAGAAGTTAAATGGTAGAGACACGGTTTACCTGGACTATGGAAACGGTTATGGCCGCCTCTTCTAGCATTCCTGCCAAACCTCTTGCAGTATATGCAGTTAGCTTGACGGCCATGGTAGTTGCTCCATGAGGGCCGTCTATCCCACCTCGAGCTTGACTGCTCGTGACTGTTACCCCGTCTAGAAAAGTCTGTAACAGCCGTTGCCCTCTGCAAACGTTCAGGCCACTAGATCCCGTGGCTCGCTTGACAGTCATCACCGATGGTTGATGTGCATCTGATGAATTCGCTAGTTTGTCTGCAGCTAAGAAACGGAGTGCTGTTGATTTCAAGTCAGCTGTATTGGCTGGTGGGCTTCGGAGGAAGTGTTCTCCTAATGGACCCGGCACCAGCCCTTTGACGAAAAGCGGACGTACTAATTCTTCTCGTCCCATGACATCTAGACGAGGAAATGCTTGCACCGCTATTTGCTGCAAGGACTTAAGGCAGTCGATCGGGTTCTTGCTTACTGGCGACGTGATAAGAACTGAATCGTCATCTGCTGGATGTCCACGGGTATGGAAAACCAGTCGTCTAGGATGCTCCAACTTTGCGCAAGTGTGTAACTTGTCGCAAAGCCATTGGCTGTTTCTCTTCTTACTGCTTCATCACTCAAATAGGATTCGAGGTAATCAAAATGTTCGGATATTGGAACTCTGCTTAGATATGCTGTGACTTTAAATTTACAAACAGAATAATCTGATGAAGCTTCGAGTACTGGCGGTTGGACAGGGGTTAAACCGGGTGCTGTCCTGCCTGGAATCACCGGGGATTCGTCTAGATTTTCATCGCGTTTTTCTGTAAACACCTCCATCACTAGTCTTAACACGTAAAATTGGCAGTCACTGAAAGGCGGAGAAAACCTGAAACCTCAACACACAATGTTAAACGAGAACTTTACACCAAGATAGAACAGGGAATGGAAGCCACGAGTCATTTATTTGAAAACCAAAATTCACGGGTGATGTACAGAACAGAAAGCTAGTTTACAAAATAGTCTTATGAGTCATCCTGTAAGTTCAGTGCATGCAGGGCTTGCTCGTTTTCTACCAAAGCATTTATCCTTGGTCGCCCTGTAGTAGAAAGAAAGACAGAATCTATTAACAACACTATACTTGATAATTTTAACCTCGTTACATATAGAAGAATTGATTTACTTGCCCTCACTTCTTGATGTCTCAAACAATTACAGGTACTCGGTTATGTCAAACGGTTTGTAGTGTAGCCATTCGACCCACTAATTCTGGTGATTTATGTAGTTACTTGTGGATCTCAATCATGTTGTTTGTCTGTGTGTTTGTCTCAGGGCGGCAAGGATTCTGAATACCAACAACTATCGCGTTAATAAGCAGATGACTGGTTGGTTTGAATGCAAAAAATAACAAAGTGGTAATTCGAGCGTTAAGAGAAAACGATTATTTCACGTATAAATAGACAACTGTTAAGGAGGGGAACGTAAATGAAAACAAGCGAGATGGAAAGGGGTTACTGATATACGATAATGATAATGCAGTAATTTATGAGACATGCATCGGAAAAACCTTATTCAAGTGGGAATTTGTAATTCATGGATGTGTGTGTTTTTATCAAGTTTCCACTAAAGCCATCCTCTAAGAGGGCAGTGGTCAATTCGATCGGGAAAGCATTCAAAATAAGGGCAACTATTATTGAGTAATAGTAGAAGCTTACTTGAGTGTTTGTATGACATCGGTTAATTCACTACTGTGTGGTGGAACGGTTTTGAAGTGACTATCTCTGCATATCGACACTCCACCCATTTATGGTGGTCGGTATTCAATATAATCCTTAAACTTCGTATACGTTCGTCATGATAACTGTCACTAGGAAACACCCCAAAGGTGTATTAATCAGAAGAATAAGCTTATTATTGCACCACGCACAGATCACCAAAATTACATATGCACTAAACAGGCATGAAGGAGCAGTGCCGAAAAGCAATCGGGTAAGCGAGTGAGTAAGCAAGTAAGCGTGCGAGTCGAATGAATGAGTAAAATGTACATAAATATACATATTGGAATGAGTGAATCATCGAATCATTTAAGCGACTAATAGTAAGGCTAGCAGAATGAATATATGAATAGGCAGTAAGCAATGCTCAAGAATGCATATTCATACAAGTGCAACGATAAGAAAGATACAGTGGTGTAGATAAATTGTTACCGTACAAATGACTCTGCCCGTTAAATAAGTTAACAAAAGGGCTTGACCAAATTAAATGTGAACAAATTCAATTCCACGTGAGCTGCAATACGTTGTTTCGTGAAACTTATCATATATGTAAGAAACATGATTTGCAATTATAATTCTTCATCCGTGATGTGTAACATAATGGTGTGGACATAATGTGGAAGGTCCACACGAAGATGCCTTTCAGGGAATGTCCAATCAAATAAACATGTAATGTCATATGATTAAATGGGACTGAATTGCGACCCTACACACTGATTTCTGTTGCATTTGTTTTCAACAAGCTCGACGTATAAATGACCATACAACTAGCAAACTGCTTACCTGACGTTAGGAAACAGTGTGGTGACAAAATCATCAACACCAAGATGGTCAACTTCTTGATTGTGATCTACATGTGTAAACAAATAAATAAATGAGTTTAACTTCATTATGCCACAACAGAGTCATTGATCGTCAGGATCGATCAAGAAATAAAAAACGGAAAATTGTTGAAACACATCGCACTGAGAATTTTATATTGTATCAAAAACTTGGTATTAAATATAGCTAATAATAATGATAAAATTGAAAAATGAAGTGTATATCAATAACCTGGTTGATCTATGTCGAAATGATTGGAGGCCTACTCGAGTTAGACCTGAGTGGTGTGACAAACTAGCTAACGTCGAAATCACACCTCGTGGTCAGCACCTTACGTGAACTACCTCATTGACGTATCAAGGTACCATAGATGCTTTGAGGACTGTACAACACAGAGGACGTTATTAAAGAAATATATTCGTTGAGGTAGATACAAGCAAAAGTAAATCCAATACTGCATGGGCCAGTCCATGGCATCCGACTAACTGATGCGCCTTGGTTGTCCCTGACCTTGGCGAGGATCGATGATTTGCTCGATAATCAATGACACAACTGCCGGATAATTTGGTTAGGACTTAGTGACGTTTCGCTGGCCCTACAAAAGCAGCATTATGAACGTTTTTGAGCACATTACATCTCAAGTATTCAAAGCAAAATACCTAGTCACTCAATTATATGGAACAGACTCTCAGTTAAGCTCCATTGCAGTGAAATTACAACCCGTTTCAGAAGTCTCGATGATTTTCTTTGCAAACTTGGAATGTATCATCTATTGAGTATCAATGTGTCTAATAATGATTTGTACGAAAAAAAGGCCTTCATCTATTGAATTGACTTAAAAATAAAGTGTAACCTTTGAAACATTTCTCGTTTATTTCATTATATTACTATGGATCTTAATATGTGAAGTCTTTCTACGTTCATATTTATGATTATTATTGTTACTATTATCATGATTATTCCCTTGATACACTATATATACCTAAACATTTAAAGTCTTTAACTTAGGACAAATCATTTTGTGTGACAAATAAATTAACTTCTCAGATTCATTTCATCTATATCACGCATATTTGACTCATACATATTGATCTCTCATCATCCATCGTAATGAATTGTGACTTTTTTGGCATCACTTCAAACTATTACTGCACAAACACTTCATCTACGGTCATATCTTACCGGAACAATGATTAAGTCTCTCGTAGATGTTTATTTTTTAAGACTTCAAGTGCTTTCTTTCTTCTTTTATTCATTTGACAATACATACTTGTACACTGTTGAAAAATACCTTTACTAAACTATTTACATGTATTGCATTTCCTATACATACATTCCCGTAATTTTTCCATTTCCATTCTTAAACTCAACTGAACGGTATTATCAATTAAACTGAAACTGTCATTCATAGAAACAAAATATTATGCAAACTTTATTGAAACTTGAATATTGTTCAATTTCTAAAAACAAATGTAACGGGTTCATTTACAACATATGTACATACAAGAAGTTGTGAATCGTAATAATAATAATAGTAAACCTATTTAGATTTGATGTCCTTATTAGTGTGAATCGATAAGTATATCTTATACGAATACTGAAACCACAAATATTTCGCATTTTGCTAACTGTTATACTAACAGTTATACTTTAAATGTGCATTGATAACGTTGTGTATTGTACTCTACGTTTGTTCACCACTTTTTTATCAATTATATACGAGCTTGTCAGTGTGTGTTTCACCACTCATCTACGAAGAGAGAACTGGACATAATCACTGAGTAAACATAAGCGCGTGTGAGGTCACAATCAACGGAAGGAAGAAGAATGTCTTTAGTACAGTCAAAAAATCACTGGTATAATTGGTTATAATAATAATAGTTTCTATCAAACCAATTGCGTTCTCGTGATGAAAATAGGTCACTAAAAGCATTCAAAGAATACAAGGTGAAACTGAATGGAAAATTACGTAGTCTCTCATGCTAATATGTCCATGGATTCAATATGCCTATTCATGAAACATCAGCGAGTAACCAACTGGTTTTGCCAGTTACTTCAAATTCGTCATATATTTCAAATTATAGTATACGTTTTTAAATAAATTAACATATCACATAGTGGTTTTGCCCAGTAATCGCTAGTTTCATTAACATCCAATATCGGGCTCGTCATAACACTGAAGTGTATATTCACAGAATATACACTAATTTGGATGCAAATAAACAATCGGAGAACCAGTAAACGTTATGAATAAGATTTAATTTTGAAGCAACACAGGCACATGAGCAATTGCGGATTTTAATAAATTTTTGATAGGACTGCTGTCTTTCTTAGCCTTCTTATCCTTTATTTTTTTCGTGTTAGTAAGTTTGCCTCTCTTCTCCAGTAGACGTGATCTGACAGCAGCTTCATCAGCCATTCCTACAAAAACAAAAACACTCATGATCGAAACGTTCAAACGTCTAGTGTACAAATAACCATAATCAACAAGTCAAAACGAATAAAATTTCGAATTCATCTTGGATTATTACAAAGTGGAGATTATGAATGCAATGTAATGATTGTGAAAAATCATCAATCATATGGAAGAACTCACCCATACCAACCAAAAATGGAACCACATCTTCTTTCGATAACACGATCTCACCACTCACTGAATTATCGAGTGACACAATCATCACTATTGACAACAACACTGTCGACCGGATCTGAACACACAAATTAACGAATACACGATGAGCAAATCGGTATATCGAACACTCACCATTCTCACTGAATTAACAACACTAGCAAAATAATAGAAGTGTGTTTCAATGTGATACGAAGAGAAGCACTGTGAATGGATGTAGTCATATTGCTTTTATACTGTCTGTGAGATGGAGTGAGTGGACATACAATTGTCTCGCGTTAGTACTTGTGATTCAGTGGAGGTGAGTGGTGAGTGTTTGAGAATATGAGTGGAGAAGATTTGTAGAGTGAATGATGGTGATATGTTAGTTGACCTGAACTGAGTGGTAGTCTGAATTCGGATTTGCACATCATTTCACAGTTGTGATGAGTGTACTTGACCTACGTTTCTTAATTTGAGAGAGAATGAGTCACTTTCACACTCTTACCTGTTCATCTTGAATTTGACTTGTCATACTCAAGGTGTAATAATCTGAACAACCCATAATATCACAATTCAAATAATGAGAATACAAAGTCGGAATCAAATGAGATTCGTTGTATTAGAGATGTTGAAGTGAAACTGTGATGTATGCTGCTTATATCAACAGATATTTTCTTACAGATCATTAATAAATTTCATGTCATTTCATTGGATAATCTCAGTGATAGATGTCCAACTAATTTCAGTGTTTCGTCCTACATAATGGCACTAGGTTCCTCAAGGAAGCGATAAAATTCGGAATTATCAAACACAAATGAGGTATGCGAACCACATTATATTGAAGGATTATCGAATGATGTTTGAATATTGATAAAGTGTATGGCACTTTGACTCTTCGTAGCAAGGCTCTGAAAAGCACACTGACAGGCCTTTACACAATGGATAGAGAAGTGATGAACAGACGTAGAGTACAAGTCACACCGTTATCAATACACATTCAAAGCTCAACTGAGTGAAAAATCGCAGTCGGTGAAATTTCAGGTATTTATGATTTCGATATTCGTATAACATTTGCCTATCGATTTGCAACCAAAGTTTAAGTCTCTTTATCGAAATATTTGAAATGACACACATCATCGCCTTCTGTCGATTTCTTCACTTTACGAGTTCGCACAAATACAGCAAAGTAATTCAAGGAAGGTTTTCATTTATAAGATTTATATTGTCTCATGATGAAAGCCGAGTTCCTACGAATACCAAGAAGCATTTCCCCTTTCCGACAACCAGAACAACCATTAACTTAGTTACATAAAATGAACATGGTGGATCTGATGCGGAGGTGAAAGCGCGGATTGGCAAAGCAAGAGCAGCATGTTTACAACTGAAGAACATCTGGAACACAGAGCAACTGTCAACCAACACCGAGGTCAGGATTTTCATTACAAATGTCAAGACAGTTCTACTGTATGGGGTGGAAACCTGGAGAACTACGAAAGCCATCATCCAGAAGAAACAGGTAATTATTAACAATTGTCCACGCAAAATACTTCGGATCCGTTGGCCGGACACTATTAGCAACAACGTACTGTGGGAGAGAACAAAGCAGATCACAGCGGAGGAAGAAATCAGGAAGAAGCGCTGGAAGTGGTTAGGACACACATTGAGGAAAGCACCCATCTGTGTCAAGACAAACCCTCACACGGAATCCTCAAGGCTGAAGGAGGAAAGAAAGATCAAAAAACACATTACACCGGGAAATGGAGATAGACATGAGAAAAATGAACAAGAATTGGATGGAATAAGAAAAGAGGGCTCAGGACAGAGTGGGTTGGAGAATGCTGGTCGGCGGCCTATGCTCCATTGGGAGTAACAGGGGTGAGTAAGTAACATGGAATACTCATACAATGTGGGAGATTCGGAAAGTCTTCCACATTACTGCAGAAATTATCAAGCAACAGTTTTCTGGAAGAGGAAGATTTCTTATTCTCAAATAAGACGAGTTGATGCTGATGTCTGTAGTGCAGCTTTTGTATTAAAGGTCTCTGTTGCATGAACTTTCTCAATGATGAGAAACGCCATCTACTATCTCAAGTCTGCAATAATTATGGATTGAATAGTTGCAGAGATAGCGATTCCACTGTAGTGTAATGAGATAATCATAGAATATAAATTTACATGAGAGTGTGAAACAATGAGAGGTGCACACAACATTTCAATATCAACATTTTGTAACGTGAAATGACGAACTGTTAGTATTTGAGAACATCTCTCATTACATTGTGTATGTCCTCAAACCCACTTAAGGTGAGCCAGTGAGGACATGAGAACCAAATGACCCTGTTGTACATATCTATATATAAACTGTGCATCAGTGTGTTCACTAATTTCTCAATTATTCTGTGGTGGCATGATGAAGGTGAGCTGATTCATTTATTGGTTCACAAATGCAGATCATAA